ACTCTAAGATTACAGCACCGGATATTACTAAGCGATCACCCATTTAGGTACTGACCAGGCTCAAAGTTGCTTAACTTCAGTGATCGTACTTTTCAAGATGATTTTTTTCTTTCTTTTTCTTTCAGATTTGGCGGACATTTGGGCGATATTATTTTTTACACATAATTGCCATGACTTAAATAACATGATCCAATAGAGAAATAAATAAATTGCCAACAATAAAACTGATTTATTTACTGCTGACTTTGATCCATATTAATGAAACACCCTTATATATAATCCGTCTTAATGAAACACCCTTTAAGTGCTGATCAGGCTCAACGTTGCTTAACTTCGGTGATCGTACGAGAACCGTTGTTTCAACCTGCTATAAGCCCTCTTTTATAGGTATCAACAGAAGCTAAACGAAATCTTGATGACTTTTTATTTTCTCGGCTTTAAACAAAATGCTGAACAACTTTCAGAAATACTTCAGCTCGTATCCATTAGGGCCTCTAAAATATTATTACAATATCGATCGGTCTGTGTAGTAATATGATTTCTGCTTATTTATGGCCGACAAAATTATTTGCATTTCACATTGGCCAAAGTGGGAAAATATTTATTGAAATGTGTTCAATTGAAAAAAAAGAAAAATTCTTTTCGCTCAGACAAGCAAATATAAAAATTAGTCAACCGTATATTATTCGCTGTGGACCGACAGAAGTTTGAAGTGATTGGTTATTTCTGTGATCGATATTATTATCATTATTATTGAGGCTCTCGTTTTGCCTGAGTGAAATACGAAGCAAATTTGCTCGTAAAATATAGCTAATTTGAATCGAGGGAAACTATTAATGAATCCCATTATGTTTGGCCACGATTAATCACCAACCAGATAACCGAAAAAAAAAAACACTAAACAAATAAAAAACAGAAATATCAATAAAAGCCTTGACAATTTTCCCTTGATATTCTTTCTTCAGGGTCCAAATAAAATGTGTGCATCGATATAGCGTAGTTGGCTTTATCTCGAAACCATGAATTTAATTTCATCTTTGGTGAGGGCTTCCTTTACGATGATGGCATTGATGATTATATTCGCTGCCAAGGTGCAAATTCAGGGCTAGAAGGTTCCAGTTTCATCAAAACCTGCTTGTGTCATCCATTCTATATTGCCGTTTGGCCTTGCAAGAGTTGGCAGTGAAAGAAAATCATAGAAGAATAAAGAACTGCTATCGTGCATTTGCCCGGAAGTGACCACGCACTTAATATCAAAACCTTCCGCTGCAGCACATATTGAATGAAACATGCAGAATCTAGGTATGGAACCTGCTTCTGTCATCCATTCTCTATCACCGTTTGGTTTTGCAAGAAATGGAGGTGAAACAAAATCTGAGTAGAAGAAAGTACTGGTGCGTGAATTTGCTTAATCTGGACCTCAACTTACCTGGAAGTGACCCTGACACTGTTGGAATTTCTGGGTACCCTGGTGTACTAGTGAGCCAGCCAAAATGAGCTGACTCATTTCATAGTTCACCAATAGAAGCATTAACCAATCAGAAGGCTCAAAATATTCAATGCAACGTGTATAAAGGCGGACATGTTTTTTCCCGAATATTCACTGCCAGCCTTTGATAACCCGGACGAGGCTCCGCCGAAGGGCAGAGTCTCGTTCGGGGAGGTTTACTGCACCTGAACTCGTTTATACGCGTTCGAATAGGGAATATTTTTGGCCGAGCCTACGGGCTCGGAGATCCCACGTTAATCCCGGCCTTGTGCCATATGTAACCGTCGTGGTGGGGCTAAATATCACTGCCAGCCTTTGATATCGAAGACTGAAGAATTATGGAACAGCTGCTGGTGGTATTGACGATATAATCAGATTCAGTAGAGTGTCTGACTCGTGAGTGTTAATCTTTGACATTGTTTCATGAACAGATTACGTACTGCGCTGTATTCTATATTCATAGACTATGGTGAACATGGTCAACATACACTTGATCTTATGACCTTCCTTTGCAGCATATATGGAATGAGACATACAGAATACAGGTATGGAACCTACTCCCGTCATCGATTTCCTCTTGTCGTTAGGCTTTGCAAGAGTTGGTTTAAGACGAAAAAATAGCAACATATACATCTTATATTTTTTAATAAGGATAGGAATTTTTAAACACCATGCTGTATCATGGGTCTTATTCTTTTATATGGTATGTCACTTCTGGATGTGAGGGTCACCGCTCTCCACAAGTTCCTCCCGTTGTTGCTCTAAGAGACATTTGTTACTTTATAGTCCCTCTCAGCCTGTTCAGTCATATATTTACCAAGTTCTTTATTCGCAGTTTTTGGGCAATCTCCTGTGACTTCCAAAAGGTAGGAAGCAGTAAGGTAATAGTTGTAGAGTTTGGAGAGAACTGGAACCAGCCCGGGTGTACATTTCTTTAGGACGACAAATGGTATCCCGTCACCTTCACTTGCTATATGGGAGTCTAATTTGGAAATGATGCCCAAGACCAGGAGGGTGAATGGTCTAAGCGACGTGTACCTTCCTTTCACGAGGCGGGCGAGGAGTCCTCTAGTTTTAGACGGCTAGGTACCATGATCTTATGAAGAATAAGCCTTCTTTGTGATGTAAGCTTTCGTCTAAAAATGTAATTCATCAAGAACTCTGGTTCACTCAACTGACATACTTTATCGTCGTTGCTTTGCCTCGTTCTTGTTAGGTCCACTCCACTCAGCTGACCCATTTTGTCAGGGTCAGTTGACCTGGTCTCAAACTGGTTTCGACAAGCTGGCTCCAGTTCTCTCGAAACTCTACAACTATTACCTCACTGCTTCCTGTTTGTTGTAAGTCCTCCTCTGTAGTTCCTGTATTTAAGAACTCTACAGAACCTTCTGACACTTCTATCGCCCTATTAGTTTTTAACCATTTTTCGGCAAAGTATTCCAGGCTTTAATCGATGCTGAAGTTATTAAACATCTTACCTCTCACGACCTACTCTCAGGCAAAAAATAAAGATCCTGTTTTGCCCCGTCTACCGCTGAAGTGCTTAGACCATCACTGAATATGTATATCAAATTTCTTGATAATTCATGTTAAATCTGAGCTGTGGCTCAAGATATCTCAAAGGCATTTGACAGGTTTGGGATGCTGGTCTTGACAAAAGCTTGAATTCATGGATAAACAGGACTTGTTGTTTGATTTAATCCAATCATTCATATGAAATCGTTAAATCAAGGTCGTCCTGTACGGATTCGCTTCCAGATCTATTCACACGAACGCGGGTGTTCCCCAAGGCTCTATACTGCGTCTTATGCTGTTTCTGATCTTGTAATGATCAATAAAAATTCATCAGTTCCCAAGTAGGCATTTATGCAGATGACACTACCATTTACTCCTCTTTCAAAGGCAATTCTGTGAGAACTGAAAATTTAACCTGGTCGATGATCCCGAAAAGGATCTCCAATCAGTGGTTAACTGGGAGAGGAAATACTGGTGAATTTTAATGATTCCAAAACTAAGCTGATCTCATTTAGCCACTATAGAGAAATTCACCTGCCTGCAATGAGCATGGCTGATGTTCTACTTCTTGGCCTTACTTTTTCGACTGACTTGAAGTTGAACAACTACATTGAATAAATAACTGTATCTACTGAAAGGAAAGTTGTTTTATTATGCCGTGCCAGAAGGTTTTCCTCATGAGAATCCATCTTGCAAATTTACAAATCTATCATTAATTCATACATTAAATACTGTCTCTGGTATGGTATAATTGTTTTTAAGTGAAGTTCTTGACAAATAAGTAAAGAAGGATCTGCATTCTAATTGGTCCTGACTTGGCATCTAGACTTCAGTCATTTTCTCACAGATATGATACATCTTACCTCTGTCTTTTCTACAAATTTTTAATGACGATAACTATCCTGTACATTTTTTTTTATGGTGCTAAACGAAAGGAATTTTTTTATGAACTAGATTTTTGTAATAACGATTTTACTTTTGAAATAGCTAAATGTCTGAAACCATTTTAACAGTAACAGTTTTTTTTAAAAACTCACCGACAGTGGAACGCCCTTCCGTTTTTTGCTTTTATGATAACTTCTGCGGACAAATTCTGAAGAAATTTAATTTTCAAGGGCCATCTTCTTATTATCTTAACCTCCGTTCATCTTTTTATGCTTTTCTAATTTCCCATCTACAAATATTTTTCCTCAAACTTTAAAAAAAAATATTAGTACTAGTGGCATTCTCGCCTTGTTTCCGAAAATTGATTAAAAAGTCTCACATAATTGAATCTATATTACATAGACTTTATCAACAAACTATAAGTACTAGATTGGCAAAGTTAAAAGAATCTTTTTAAAAGAAAAATGGCTAGGATGATGTTATAAGTTAGAAAAAGAATTTCTTCTGTCGAATTTGGCAGAAAAAGAGGTTGAAAGTAGGAAAACTTCACCTTAAAATATTTAAATGCAATAAGAATCGTTAGTTTGTCTCCTTAATTCTTTTTAGAAGAAGAAAGCTTTAATAAAAGTTTTTCTTCTCTTCATATCATTTCAAAAAAGTAAAAAGGAAGGTCTTAGGGGAATTTAGAAGCCTTGAAAGAAAGAGGTGGATTAAACAAATATATAGGAACAAGAAAAAAACAAAGGAGAAAAAAACAGTAGAAAAAAACAGTTCAATGAAACAATGAAAATAAGAAGGCAGACAAAAAAAAAAGAAAAAAAGAAAGAAAGAAAAGAAAGAAAGAAAGAAAAGAAAGAAAGAAAGGGAAATTTCAATAGGGAAAGATAAAAAAGAAAAGAAGGAAAAGAAAGAAAGAAAAAAAAGAAAGAAGAAAAAGAAAGAAATTAAAAAATGTCAACAGGAAAACAAAGAAAGAAAAAAGAATGAATATATGAGCAGAGAAAGAAAGAAAGAAAGAAAGAAAGAATGCAATCAAGCAAAAAGGAAGGAAAGAAACACAAGACGAGAGTAGATTGAGAAAAAAAACGTTACAAGAAAGAAAACAAAAAATCTAAAGAAGAAAAATTAAAGAAAGAAAGAAGAAAAGAAAGAAAAAAAAAAAAGGAAGAAAAGAAAGAAAGAAAGAAAGAAATAAAGGAAAGAAAGAAGGGAAAAGAAAGGATGGAGAGAAGGAAAAGAAAGAAAGAAAGAAAGAAAGAAAGAAAGAAAGAAAGAAAGAAAAAATTAAAGGATAAAGAAAGAAAAGAAAGAAAGAAAGAAAGAAAGAAAGAAAGAAAGAAAGAAAGAAAGAAAGAAAGAAAAAAAGGAAAATGAAAAGAAAGAAAGAAAAGAAAAGAAAGAAAGAAAGAAAGAAGAAAAAATGAAAGGATGGAAAAAGAAAGAAAAAGAAAGAAAAGAAAGAAAAGAAAGAAGGAAAAATGAAAGGATGAAGAGAAGAAAGAAAAGAAAGAAATGAAAGAAAAAAGAAAGTAAAAGAAAAGAAAGAAGGAAGAAATGAAAGGATGGAGAGAGAAAAGAAAGAAAGAAAAGAAAGAAAGAAAGAAGGGAAAATGAAAAGAAAGGAAATAAAGAAAAGAAAGAAAGAAAAGAAAGAAAGAAAGAAAGGAAAAGAAAAGGATGGAGAAGAAAGAAAGAAAAGAAAGAAAGAAAGAAAGAATGAAAAAGAAAGAAAAGAAAAGAAAAGAAGAAAAAGGAAAGGATGGAGAGAAAAGAAAGAAAAAAAAGAAAGAAAAAAGAAAGAAAAAAAATAAAAAGAAAGAAAAAATGAAAAGGATGGAGAGAAGAAGAAAAAGAAAGAAAGAAAGAAAGAAAAAAAAGAAAAAAGAAAGGGAAAAAAAAATGAGAGAAGAAAAAAGAAAGAAAGAAAAAAAGAAAGAAATAAAAGAAAGAAAGAAAAAAAAAAGAATGGAAATGAAGCAAAGAAAGAAAGAAGGAAAGAAGATGAAGGAAAGATTAAAAGAAAGAAAAGAAAAAAAGAAAAAAAAATGAAGAAAGGCACAGAAAAAATGAAAGAAAGAAAGAAGAAAAGAAAGGAAGCAAACCAAAAAAGAAGGAAAGAAAAGAAAGAAAAAAAAGAAAGAAAGAAAGAAAGAATGCTACCAAGCAAGGAAGGAAGGAAGGACAACACTAGACTAGATTAAAGAAAGGAATATTACCAGAAAGAAATCGAACAAGGAAGAAGCGGAGAAAAAAAAAAAAAAAAGAAAAAGAAAATGAAACGAAATAAAGAAGAAGAAAAGCAAAAAAAAAGAAGAAAAAAAAAAGAAGGAATGAAAGAAAGAAAGAAAGAAAGAAAGGAAATAAAAATGAAAAGCAAAGAAAATAAGGATGAAAGAAAGAAAGAATGAAATAAAGCCGAAAGAAATGAAATGAAAAAAAGAAAGAAATAAAAAAAAGAAGGAAAGAAAGAAAAAAAAGAAAAGAAAGAAAAAAAGAAAGAAAGAACTCAGGAAAAAGAAAATAAAAGAAAAAAAGAAAAAAAAGGGGAAAAGAAAGAAAGAAAGAAAGAAAAAAAAGAAAGAAAATCAAGGAAAAATATAAAACAAAAAAAGACATTATAAAGAAATATTGAAAAGAGATTGCAAAAGAAGGAAAAAAATAGAAAAAATAGAAAAAAAAAAACATTAAAAGAAGCAAACAAGCAATCAGGAAAGAAAAGAAAGAAAGAAAAGAAAGAAAAAGAGAGAGAAAGAAAGAGAAGAAAGAATCAATATTGGAAATAAAAGTTTGCAGAACAGGGAAAGAAATTTAAAAAAAGAAAGATTAAAGAAAGGGAGAAAAATAGAAAAATGAAAGAAAAAGAACAAAATAAAGCAAAAGGAATCAAGAAAAGAAAAAAAAAAAGAAAGAAAGAAAGAAAGAGAAAAAAAAAGAAAAGAAAATTGTTCCATTAAGAAAAAGAAAATATTGCAAGAGGAATTTAAAGAAAAAAAAAAAAAAAAGAATTCAAGAGAAAAAATAAACTGAAAATAAATAAATAAATAAAAAAAAAAAATATTTAAAAGAAAGAAAGAAAAAAAGAGAATGTTTTTAACAGAAAAAAATAAAAAAATAAAAAATAAAAAAAAAAAAAAGGAAAGAAAAAAGTAAAAATATTATATCATTAATAAAAAGGAAATAAGAAAAATATTTTTGCTAAATAAAAAACAATGAAGAGGCATAAGAAAATTAATGAAAACACATGGAAAATTTTTCATTTGATATATATATATATCAAGTTGGAGAAAAAAAGAATAGCATTTTTTTTTTAGAAAGACAATAATATTTTAAAATAAAGTTAAGGTGTTTAATGTACTTCCATAAAAGAAAATTCAAATTAAAAACTTTCAAAAACAAATGCTGTGTTAATGTATTTTGAAGAGAAAATATCACCACTTTAGAAGAAAAAAGAAAAATATTAAAAAAAAAAATCATTTGAAAACTAAGAAGAAAGAAAATTAATTTACAAAAAAGATGAAAAAATGAAAAGATAAAAATAAAAAAAGGATATTATATAATTTTATTAAAAATAAGAGAAATTAAAAATAATAAATAAAAATATACTTTAAAAATTAAAATGATATTAAAGTAAAAAAAATTTTATGTTTTTAAAAAAATTGAAAAAAAAAGAAATATAAAAAAAAGAAAAGAAAAATTGTTTTATGATTGATTCGATTTTTGAGAAAAAATTTCAAAATTAAAATTTGACATGTAATTAAAACGTTTAATATATTTGATGAGAAAGGGGAATAAATTAAACAAAAACAAATAAACCTAAACAATGAATGAAGAAGATGAAAAGAAAGGAAAAAAATCATAAAATTACGTTTTGGTAAAATAAATGGAAAGAAATTTTTTTTCAATTTTAAAATAAAAGAAAAAATATGAAGAATTCATTGAATTTTTGAATGCAAAATAATGAAGATGAAAAAACTTAAAATAAAAAAAAATTTTGAATTTTAATCATTTTTTGGAAAACATATGGATTGTAAGTTTCTTAAAATGAATAACGATTTCATGAAATGTAATTTCTAACATGTTAGAACTGAAGAGATTGAAGAATATTAAATAAAAAATTTAATGCCTAAATGAAATAGAGAAAATAAATATTCAAAATTAAAATTTTTGTTGATTAGGCAAATATATATATAGGATTAAAAAATTTTATTAAAAATTATATTAAAACTCAAGAACCTAAACAGATTTCAAAAGTATTTTAGGAAAATGAATTTACTTTGAAAAAAAGAATTTTTCAAATTATTAAGAAATTCATAAAAAAGTTGACAAATGACAAAACAAATGTTTTTATTTGAAAACAGACTAAAAATTGTTATTATTTAACCCAAATTTCTAATAAAAATAATCTTCATTTATTTTGAAAAATGTAGCCTTTTCTTTTTTTAAAGATTTTTTTAAAAAAAAAAGAATTTATCCACTTCAGATATTAAATCTATATATATTAAAATATATATATAAATTTATAATAAATAAATTAAAAAATTTTTTTATTTAGATAAATATATGAATATATTGATAGATCAAATATCTTGATAATATAAATTTAAATTAAAATAAAAAGAGATTTATTTGATAAAAAGAAATATCAATTTAATTATAAAAAAATAACAATAGAGAAATTTTGAAAGAAAAAAGATTTTTAATTTGTTTATATTGGATGAACAAAATTTTACAGAATGAAAAGAAAAAAAATCATAAAAAAAAGATTTTTAAAAAAAATAAAATATTTTGGGTTTTACATTTCATAATAATAATTGAAAATGATTTTGATAAATTAAGAATCTTAATATATCCATTTTGAATTTTTAAAAATATATTGAAAATGGATGTTTGATATATATATATATTTATAAAAAATATGCTTAACAATTAAAAGGAAAAGAATTTTTTTTGTTTCCGCTTCCAAGAAATTATAAATGCAGGTTTAATAAAATTTAATCTGAATAAAAGTTCAACCAGGAAATCTAATTTAAACAGAAATTTTATTAGATTCAATAGAAAATTCATGTTTTCTAAAAAAATTAATATATAATTATACTATATTTTAAAATTTATCTAATCATAGAAGAGGCATTATTGATGAAACAGAAAATTAATTTTAAATATCAAGGAATACCTAATAAAGTGAAATTGTAAAATTTGAAGATATATTTGAAGAAAAAAAAAAATGGTCAAGTTTCTGAACCGAAAAGGAAAATTATGGTTAATATTTTTTTGAATAAAATTTCCAGAAAATTGATGAAGATCTTGTTCTCAATTCATTAAATATTTTTAGGAGAGAAAACCTGGGGAGTTGATTTGAAGAACGAAATGAATGAGATAACTGAATTAAAAACAGGAAACAAAGTAAAGAAAAAAAAAAAAAAAAGGCTTAAAAATGTAAATAAATTTAGAAAAAGGAAAGTTTCAGACGAATTTTCACCAAAGAAGTCCAGGAGTACAAAAAATATATTCAAGGGATAAAAAAAACAAAAAAAATTGTTCAAAAGAAAATGCAAACCTTCCAAAAAAAAGATTTTTACATTCCTCTGAAAAAAAAATTTTAAATAGAATCAGAATCATGTGGAACCAATAAATTCAAAAAAATTTTTCTCGATCAGATAATCTTTAACAAAAAAATTTTTAATAAATTAAAAAAAAATTTCCCCATGAATAAAGAATATATAAATGTGTTTCTTACTCTGCAAGTTTATTAGTGGCTGTATTGATTAAATTGAAAAAAAATGAAAAAAAAAAATGAGAAAAAAAAAAAAAACAAAAAGGAAATTAATAATGATCTTATACAATTTTAAAATATCGTTGATATATTCATGAATAAATAAATGTTAAATTTTATTCATTTTGAATAAATTAAAAAAAGATTGTATTTCATTTTCCAAAAAAAAAAAAAAATATAAAAAATATATTTTAAAAAACGTTTCACCCAATTAGCAACTTGTTTAATATATTTTGGATTTAATTTATTGTTATTTTAAATATTAAATATTTTTAATAAAATTTATAGATAAACCAGAATCATTTATATATATATATATATATATATATTTTATAAATAAAAAAAAAAATAAATATATGTTGTAAATTTCAGAAGCCAAATTTATTTTAGAACATTTAAAAATTTGTTAAAAACAAAATAAAATATTTATTTTATATTTAAATACATATATATATATATAATATATATAATATATATAAGAAATCATATATATATATATGATATATATATATAAATATATGTAAATTACACACACAACACACACACACATTCACACACACACATATATTAAATCAAATGAAAGGGAAAAATGGGAATAATAGATCCATCCAGTTCATTATCTCAAATAACAACTTAAAAGAGACTGTTTGACCAACACAAGGAATGTTAAATTTATTCATGTTAAAAAAAAAAAAAAAAAAAAAAAAACAAATGAAAACTACAGAAAAAAGTTCATTTTTCCATCAAGACAAATTAATTTCTGTAGTTTACTTGCTACCAGCAAGCAGAAATATTTTCTCCTGATGATGGCCATTTTGGCCGAAACTAGTATCTATAAATCTAAATGAAATAATAAAAAAAAAACGAAAGAATATTAATCTACAACCCAGTGTGTCTGAAGATTTTAATTTTTTTAATATTTTTTATTGTTGAATATATATATATATATATATATATATATATATATATATATATATATATATATATATATAGGGTGTCCATAAAGTTTTGTGCACTTTAAAAAAATTTATAACTTTATTTGTATTTGCGATAGAAATAATTTGTAAAAAGGATTAGAAAGAAGTAAATCTATATTTTTTAAGGTTTTATTGAAATTTTATTTAAGTTTCCACATGTCCTCCATCATTATTTTAAAGGGTAATAATACGATTTTGCAGTTCACGGAAAACATTTGCCAACTGATTTACAGTAATGCCTGAAATCACATTAGTTATTTTAGCTATACTTAAAACTAGGTACATTAAACTTTATAACATTTTTTTTACAGATTATTTCTATCGCAAATACAAAAAAGTTATAAATTTTTTTAAAGTGCACACGAACTTTATGGACATTTTGTATATATATATATATATATATATATATATATATATATATATATATATATTATTATATATATAAAAAAATGTAATATAATTAATTGTCGAAAGAATTTTAAAAAAACGGATGAAGACAATCCTTTTTCAATATAATTTAAAATTTTTTTTTATGACTAAAAAAAAAATTTTATTAAGAAAAAAATTAAAATATTAAAAAGAAATTTTAAATTTAAAAATTCCATTGTTGTAAATATAAAGATAATTTTACATACGTTTTCTTTCTTTCTTTTGAACAAAAAATAGTTTCCAAAAAGAAATCGACAAAGGCGTGAAAATAGAAATTTCGACCGAGGTTGTTTAAACATTTGTTTAGTTCTAAATATATATATAAAAAAGTTTGATTATTTTGATTGGAAACACAAAAATAAGGAAAATGAAAAAATTGAAAAATATATTTTGGACTAGAATTGAAAAAAAATTCCATTAAATTAATTATTTGTTATGACTCAGAACTTCTTTTTTGTTATTCAAATCGAAATTAATTCTTCAAAAATAAGTTTACAAAAAAAAAAATAAATCACTAGAAAAAAGTGAAAATTAAAAATAAAAACATTAGAAAAATTTATATCAAAATTTTTAATGTGGGTTTGAATGTAAGTTCTTTTAAGATAAAAAAATGATTCATGCGAATTGGTCTATATCTTACGACAAGTAAAAACGAGTTTTTTTCTGGTTTATAAAAGTATTTAAAAAAAAATAGTACATATATGTGAAAGCAAAAGATCAAAAAATAAATATATAAATAAATAATTCGTTTATATTTATTTGTTATGTGTTTCACCAAAAATAAAATATATCCAAGGAAATAAAAAAAAAAAATTTTGAATAAATTATGATTAATGACAGGAATTTTTAAAAGAAAATGAATCTAAAAAAATTTGTCCAACTCAAAAAAAACTGATATTATGCATTCAATTAAAAAAAAAAATCGAAAAAAAAAATTCAAAAAGAAAAAAGAAAAGATTTTATATTTGGAATTTTTATATAATATTATATATATATATATATATATATATATATATATATATATATATTAAATCGAATATTTGTATATATTGATAAAGAATTTAAAATTTAAATTATTTTTAATCCAAAAATTTTGATGTTATGATTTTTTCAAATTTCAAAAAAAGTTTCTTGAAAAGGTTGAAATTTTTCTGATATGATTTAGATGAATTTTGTCAAAATCAAAAGAGAGGAAATTAAAAAATTTAAATTTTTGAAATATTAAAAATTGAAAAAAATGTTTTTTATTTTTTTTTCAAAAAATTTAAAATAATAATTTGCTTAAATTTCATTTATTACTATTTTTAAAAATAAAAATATTATAAGAAAAAAATGGATTATATATCATTTTTTATTTATATATATATTTATATATATATATATATATATATATATATATATTATAGAAGATAGATAGATAGATAGATAAATAGATAAATTTGAAGAAAAAGATAATAATTAGGCTAAGATAGTAAAACAGCCTATATTTGGAATTTTTATGATAGAAAATAAAAAGAAAGATAAAAAAATGAAATAGAAATGAATATATAAAAAACAAACATTTTTTTATTTTTTTTAATTTAATATTAAACTTCAGGATATTGTTGATATTTTTACAAAGATATTAATAATTTATATTTTAAATTTAAATTAAATGTTTTTTAAATATATTTTTTTA